GTGGCATTTTATAAAACAATGTAATTTTTGTATTATTTTTGTCCATCCGATCTTTCCCTATCACTTTTATTTACGATTTTTAGCGAGAATATGGCTTCTTTTGTTATTATTTTGTGTGGATACTAATTTTTATGAAGTTATAGCTAAATAAAGCTGGTCCATGCAGGGCTAAGATCGCTGTAGGCCGAGATCCGATGTTTCCCCTCGTGAGTGAAGATCGGATGAACACTATCCGATCTTTGCCTGTTACAAATATGGCAGTGGTTGTTAAACTTTCATTGGTCGTGTATATTTTTTCGTTGATTACTCAAGTCACTATGGGACTCAGTCTCGTTAGCAAGTCTGTATATTTAAAAGTAATAACAATACGATGGTTTTATTACTTTTAAGTACACATTAAAATACATTTTTTTTTATAGCATAAGGGTGACAAAGGAGCACACAGTCCACCTGATGTTAAGTGATTGCTGCAGCCCATAGACATCTATATCTATCCTTTATTACAAATCAAAATGTAATTTATAATAATTATTTAAAAAATAATTTATAATAATAAATGCCGCTTTGTTAAAATATTTATATCTTCCTTAACTCCTGCATTATCCCAGGGCATTTCGCCAGTCCTTACTGTTATTTTTTTTTTCCATATAAAATCAAATGCATCCGATCTTTCTCTTATATTGAGTAATTCCATCTTATGTCATAACAAAGTTTGAGAAACATAAAATTACAATTTCATTATATCAGGGATAAGATCGGATGGCAAAAAACAAAAAAAGAGAAAATCGTTTGGAACATTTATGTTTCTAGTAATTTATAGATCATATTGAAATATGTTTTTGAGCGTTAAAGATAGGACAAATCTCTTTTATAAACTTTTTCTCTAAGCAGAAGAAGTGGTTTTAAATTTAAGTCCGGTCTTACCCCTTAATGACCAATTTTTCATTATGCATATAAAAAAGTATGTCTAGTTTTCGCACACCTTTAAAGCAGAAACCGTTGAGTTTACACAAGCAAAAGATTCTCAGAGCTAAACTACGTTTAACGATTAACGGTTTGCTCCATGTTCCATAAATCTGACGTATACGAATGTCGAGAAATTAAAGTTTTTGGCAGACTCTTCCAACTATTCGAAAATCCGTCCGGTATTACCCCAACGTACCTTATTCATCAGACATTTAAATAATGGAAGCTATTTTGACAGTTGACAATAAAGTAAATATTTTAGTCGATTTTAGTATTGCGTACTTTAATATGTTTTTTTTTAATATGTTGATTTCTTGAAGTGTTCCTAATTATTACCAAAGCTTGTTTGCTATTTTTTTTTTCATATATTAGTTATAGTACCTATACAACTTTGTGTTTTTGTTACAGTCCTCCTCCTAGTTTTGGATATATAGGGCGGCAAAACTTAAGGTGACCATATTACCCTCACGTAGGGTTACCAGATGAATAAATTAAAAGTCCGGAGAAGAGGTCTGATTTCCATTTAATAATCCTGATATTTTTTACAGTTTGAGAAGAAAACCTTACTTAAAAAGGTATCTTCACATATTACGTATGATAAAACTGTTTAAGTACCTACTTGGATAAATAAGTTTTGATTTTAATTGTGGAATTATTACCAAAGGAAAATTATTTTTTGTTTGTTTAACTTTTTATTAAAGAGATCTTTAAAATGTAAGCTGTATTATATTGAAAGTTTTAAAAATCCTGAGATTTCATGAGATTTGCAAAATCCAGCCGCAATCCTGAGAAGAGTCTAAAAATCCTGAAATCTCAGGACAAATCCTGAGATATGGTAACCCTACCCTCACGTACCTTAATCTTTATAAATTCCATGCGGGCGAAATCGCGAGGAACAGCTAGTTTCATATAAATCAATTTCTGATCCTGACAGTTAGTTACAAATATTTACATGCAACGCAGATGTCTGGTTACGTGCTAGCTTATTGTTTTACAACTAATCCTGATTAGGTGACACACTGACCTTGCGTATGTCCTTTGATATTAACGGGCACACGTTTAAGGAACGTTGTGTTACCATGTCAGACAAACCGACCAGCTGGACAACTAATCACTGCCGGCTGCCGGCGACTTATTAAGTAGGTGAAGGTTATTGCTAGATAAATTCATAAAATATTGTATACTATATATATTAACTACAGTATTAAAAAAAGCTCTTATAAGATAGGACGCATTAAATAAAAACGGATTTTACGAATTTTATCGCTTTTAATTGAACTTATTTTTATTTATTTAAATTCCCGACGTTTCGTTGCCGGGAATTAAAAATGAATTTTTATTGAACTTATTTTTAATTCTTAAAATGAATTTTATTAATTGTCTAGTATTCGTGTAAATAAACGAGTACCTACATAAGAAATCATTAGAGGGATACACATTTTCTTGAAGCAGTAGTTAAAAAATGAATAACCACAAATACAAGCATTTTACACATAAATCTTTTTAGATACAGGTAAATTAAATTTAGTTACAGTAAAATACCTGTTCTTTAATGCAATATTATTTAAGTCAATGTATTTTGTATCTTGCAATCATGCATAGCTTCTCTCTGAGATGAGAATATCTCTCAGTAGATGAGAGTTGTCACCCCTATTCTATATTAAAATATAAATTTACTGTTACAAACGTGACCCCTGGAAAAGTGGACAAACGTCCGTCTGTCCTCGAACCACATCGCCCACACGTTTGTGTTTAAAAATGGCTGGCATGATGCCCAGGCAGCCAGTGAAACCTCGTTCGAACCCGCACTGCTAACGCATATTACGATTACGATGCTATAAATATTCCTTTTTAGGTTTATTATAATTAGGCTTTCTATTTCAATTTAATTTCAAATTTAGAATACTTTTTGTTTCCTTTCATACGTCAAAGTAAAAATGATTGGATATTTTAGTAACATCTGCGTTATTAGAGGGCTTAAGTTTTGCTTTTAAAAACATGTTTAATGTTGAAAACTAGTAAATTATTACGAATAAAATGTCAATATAATAAGTGCTGACTGTATTTAACATAACATAAACACTCATGCCTGTCACCTAGAGGGGTGGGCAGAGACTACAGACTTCCATTTGGCACCATCCTGACACACCTCTCTCGCCTCCTTTACATCCATATATCTACGCATACACGATTGTCGGTTAAGGGTACTCCTAATGTGGGCCATTTTCAATATAACGCCAATTTGGTCAATAAACCTTCGTGCTAGGCGTCCCTTCCCGACTCTCACTTCCGACCCGGCGGTGAAGGAAAATCTGAGAAATATCCACCCGGCCAACCTTTTTTTTTAGGATAAGGGTGACAAACGAGCACACAGTCCACCTGATGGTAAGTAGTTGCTGTGGCCCATAGACATCTACATCTATCCTCGATTACGAATCAAAATGCAGATGCGTTGTCACCCGTGAGGACTAAGATGGAATGCCTTGTTTCCAATAAAGAGGGCCTCCGGTTCTCTATAGTCACCCTGTCATTCAGATTCAGCCCTAGCATACTCCTGAATGTATATTTAATTTAATAATCGATCTATGATAGAAACATATTTATATTTACCTTTATTACTTATTATTATATAACCTGTTTAAAATATAAATGTTAAAAAGAAACTTTTGAACAAGTTCTTTTTTTTTCTCAAGTAATACACTATAATATACAATACTACCTACTAAAACATTTATGCTTTATCTCAATACAATTTATTTACAAGTAGGAATATATATTATCTGAATGAGCAAGTAGGTAATCTTTACACTGGACAACTAATTACAATCGATCAGGCTAAATGCAAGCAAATCTCGCTTTGTGTTTATTTTGAAACTAGCTGTTACCCACGACTTCGCCCGCGTGTTATTTGGAGTTTTAATTTTTTTACGTGGAACTCTAATTCTTTTTCTAAAATAAAAGTAGCCTAAGTTACTCCTTTAGACATCAGCTATCAGCCAGTGAAAATCCCATCAAAATCGGTCCAGCCATTTCGGAGATTAGCCGGAACAAACAGACAGACAGACAGACGGACAGACAGACAGACCGGCAAACAGACAGACAAATAGTTTAAAAATTGTATTTTTGTTATTAGTACCGTATATACTTTCATATGCATTTAGTAAAAGCTGTAATTTTGACATTACAAACAGACACTTCAATTTTATTTATTTGTATAGATAATGTCTTTGTTGCCAGTAAAAAGGATCTCCGGTTCTACTATACACTCGCCATACAAAACAGCAGCATTACGCTGCATATATTATGAGCCAGTTCCTACCTCGGCCGAGCCGACCCATTCGTGCTGTAACCATTATAAAACTGGAGCTTGGCTCTGCCACGTTAAAAATTATAATAGGTATATAATATTAAAATATAAAAATTAAAAAGAGAATCGTTAGCTCAGAAAATAAGCGCTCATCATAAAATTTTACAACCGATTTCGAACCTTGTCGGCAACCAATGAAACTGTTCATTGTCAACTGCTAGCATTGTCGCGACGGTCTTCGATCAACAATACCAAATTGTTGATCGAAGGCGGCGGTGAAGGAAAATCTGAGAAATATCCACCCGGCCAATCTTTTTTTAGGATAAGGGTGACAAACGAGCACGCAGTCCACCTGATGGTAAGTAGTTGCTGTGGCCCATAGACATCTACATCTATCCTCGATTACGAATCAAAATGCAGATGCGTTGTCACCCGTGAGGACTAAGATGGAATGCCTTGTTTCCAGTAAAGAGGGCCTCCGTTTCTCTATACTCACACACCATACGTTAACCAACACAGCAGCGTTCAGCTGCTATTTTATGCAATTATTCTGTGAGAGCGTGGTCCTTCCCCGGTCGAGCCGATCTATTCGTGCTACAACTATACTACTAATATAGCTGCAGCATGGCTCTACCACGTAAAAACTCTATAGAATCTATTGCCGTGGTGTTCCGATTCTGGTGCGCTGCGGGACACGTAAAAATTACTGACCGAGATTGAGACTCACCTAGCAGGGCGTCTTTTCCTACATGTATGTTACAGTAGATGTGATGATCGGTGGCCATTACCGGCTCGTCCGGACTTGCGCCGCCCGCCTCCATTAATTTCAGCTTGGCTGACAAGTCTTGTACGTCTGCAAAGAATAAGTGTAGCTTTAAACCAAAAAAATAAAACATCGGTAAAGTTTAAGCTTTCTTAGCATAAGTTTAACTAAACCCATGCCCCCAATATACTTATCAATAGTAATGCAAAAGTGGTAATGGGCCGACCATATAGCTCGTAGAACCAACAATGGGGGATGGGGAAGAAAGGTCCTCGTGTGGCAGCCTCGTACCGGCAGGCGAAGTGTAGGGCGTCCCCCCACTAGATGGAGTGACGACCTGGTAAGACATGCAGGAAGTCAATAGATGCAGGTGGCTTCGGTTTTTTTGTGGGAGGCCTAAGTTCAGCAGTGGACTTGTGAAGGGCTGTAATGATGATGATGATGATTAATTTCCGAATTAATTGGGACAACGAAAAAATTATGGAAATTAAATGAAACTAATTTTTACGGATTCTATCGCGTTAATTTAACTTTTTAATTCCCGGCGTTTCGGGTGCTTTAAAACACCCTTAGTCACGGGGGGACTGATGTGTGTGATATTCCTATGTCATAGTTAGCCCGGCTACCTTCATTTTTGAATATAATTATTTGGTCCGACCTACGCAGATGAGTACTACGCAGTGTGTAGTCTTCGCGTAATATAAGAAATCATTATATCATGGAAAGTCAAGTCGACGTAATATCAAAGTCTCTAGAAGTTATGACGTTGTGACACTTTAGGACAAACGAACAGAACGAAGTTATATTATAAGGGTCGACTCTAATGAGTGCGGAACCTTAACAATTAAAATAAAATTAGGAAAGATGTGTGTTAACTACCTCAAATTAAAATTTTGTTTGTAGGCCAAGCAAATGTGTCTGCAATGTTTAAGTGATTTAAACCGGCGAACAAGACAATGAATAATGAACATTTTAGACTTGACTTATTGGCTTCAAGGAAATAAAATAAAACTTAATTCGATGTTGAATGATATTATATAAAATATAAGGGGTTCGACCTGTTAACCCAAAGTATTCACCCACCAGCGAGTGCAGGGGGAATTTCTACACGTATTTACCCGTGCACATTGATTTATATGTTTTGTATAAGTCAATGCCCGTGCACCTACTAGATTACCTACTGTATTACATTTTGTGCATAATTTACATTATTTTATATTATGTCCTATTAGCACCGGAACCTACGGCCGCTAAGATTTCTTTCTGATGGCGCTTTCGTATTGTTGACACAGTAAGTAAATATAATTCGTCGCATTCTAAGGACATTGATACGTTTAAGTTTCGCTGCATATCCTAATCATCATTGTCATTACAGCCTTTCATAATTCCACTGCTGAACATAGGCCTCCCCCAAGGAATGCCACAAAGCACGGTCCTGAGCCACTTGCATCCATCGACTTCCTGCATGTCTTACCAGGTCGTCACTCCATCTCGTAGGGGGTCGCCCTACACTTCGCCTACCGGTACGAGGCTGCCACTCAAGAACCTTTCTTCCCCATCGGTTGTCGGTTCTTCGAGCTATATGGCCGGCCCACTGCCACTTCAGCTTACTAATCCGTTGGGCTATGTCGATTACTCTGGTTCTATTGCGGATATCCTCATTCCTAAGTTTATCACGCAGAGAAACTCCGAGCATAGCCCTCTCCATAGCTCGCTGAGCGACCTTGAGCTTCCTCATACGGCCAGCAGTGAAGGACCACGTCTCAGTTCCGTAAGTCATCACTGGCAACACGCACTGGTTGTACAATTTCGTTTTAAGGTTTTGAGGTATGTCTGACGAGAAGATGTGTCGTAGCTTATACTTATACTCGACACACATATAGACGCTGGCAAATTATTACTATTCCTTTGCTGCCCAGCCGAGTTGAATCCGTCGATTGACCTCTCGGTCAAAGTCGGACTTACCTAGTCGGACTATTTGTCCCAGGTAAACATACTCGTCAACAACTTCGAGCTTAGTGCTCCCAACAACTACCGGCATAGGTGTGACATGGACATTAAACATATTCTTTGTTTTGTCCATGTTCATCTTAAGACCTATTCGTTGGGAGACACTATTGAGGTCATTGAGCATAGTGCTTAGGTCCTCCAGCGATTCTGCCATAAGGACTATATCGTCGGCAAATCGTAGGTGAGTGATGTACTCGCCATTGATGTTAATACCGTATCCTTTCCAGTCCAGAAGCTTGAAAACGTCTTCCAATCCAGCGGTGAAGAGTTTTGGGGATATAACGCCGCATATATAATTGCCATATATCCGCAATGAGGGTAGGTACATGTATACATTTATGGTCAAATATATTATAATCTAAAATGACAACGAAATGACCGTTTAATTTAAAGAAATTACAATCGCTGTGGCAGAAGATGTCAACAGGCAACCTATATCCACAAATATGGAGACTTAAGGCAACCCCCTTTTACTACCTATAACTAGATTAGGGTACTTGCGCCCAAGATGGCGCTGTTCCTAAGATGGCGCGCTTTTAAAATTTCATACTTTTATAAGTTCGAATGAGTTTAAATTTCGCTCTCATGTTCTGTTAGTCCTCAAATGGGCCTTACAAGGCACGTACCGTATGCTAGCACATTATCATATGATTGCGAGTATAAAGCCATTCAGTCAGATGAATCAAACAGTGCTCAAATCTGCTTGATCTATAATTAAAAATGGTTACTGTGAAAGGTAATCAAAGTCGAAACCCGAGAGAAATCGACAAGTTTTTCGGAATAAATATAGCCTTAATCACGTCTAGCATTTTGCTTTTATTCAGTGCGTGACAGAAAGAAAAAAAATTAAATTGTTTATTCATGTTTTAATGGCATGCAATGATTACGCGGTTAATGCGATATTATAGACAGACACTTAATTTTTTTATATGAAAGATATAGATACAATTTGACAGGATATCTCCTTCTTTGATAAAAGTCAAAACATCAGAAGAGATAACATTTACGAAAAATTAACATTTATAACCTGTGAAAAATTTAATTCAAGTGTTCTAATAGGTTAGAACGCTTTATTTCTATTTCGAACTTGATTATAAAACGAGTAAACATTCTTGTTGAAAATATAACCCAGGTGAGGATGATTTCCAGAAATCGCTCTCAACACATTCAGGGTTATCATAACAATCTAAAGAATTCTTACTCTTTATTATGTATCCGTTGGGGAGGTTATGGAAAATTTCGTTGTGCTGTCTTATTTTTCATAACTTAAGTACAAAGTAAATTATGGTATTGATCTACAAAACATTTGGTAAATTATCAATAAACAAAAAACTCGAATGCAAAAAACTGATGTAAAATATGATTCACTGAAAATTATATACATGTGAAATTGTCTGGAATGTAGAGTATGGTCGTGTTCCGATATACACTGCGAGCACTGCTCAGTGCAGTCACTGGTAAAAATTCGTTCCGTTATGGACTGCCAGTATACTACCCCAGTACCCTAGGGAAATATCCGTCATAAATCGCCGCTATTTTTATACTGTGAGCATTGGCGCTTTCGAGGTAAGGTAAAGTTGCTCTCAGTACTTTGATCACGTGATCAAAAAACATAACAGCGTCTTGAGATTTAACAGCTTCCACGAATGATTGTTATTATTATTAATTAATAATGTTATTCAAATAAACTCGGACCCAGCATTAAGTTTTAAAAGCAACAACATTCAAATAATAATTTTACTTGTTGGAAAGAAAACGGGTACATGATAAATATTTTCATTTGAAAATAGTGTCGAAATATGGGGATGACAGTGTGCTGGACTGCGTTTTATTTTAAACAGTAACCAGTATAGCAAACTAAAAAGGAACGGCTTCACAGTACTGAATTGACGTCACACTTTACACTGATCACAGTGTATAAAGGAAAATACCAAAATTTTTTATTATTACCTTTCAGTATATAATTATTATCATTCTATGAATACAACATCTTGTAACATGCCAGATGTAAAATAGCCAGAACGGCGACGGGGAACATCGTCAAAATTGCGAATTACAATCACCATTCCTCTTGCCAAACATGTTGATTATGACAAATCCTTCCTAAGATAATTGAAGCCTACGTCCAGCAGTGGACTGTTACGGGGTGTTAAAGAAGAAATTACATGTGACCATACACGTTTGCATATTATTATTTTTTAGGTCGAAAGTTTTTGACGGTTCGTGTTCGCCATATTTTATTAAACCTAACGTCATGTCGTCAATTTTACAGCCAAATTATAAAATTGATTGGGATAATTTGTTGAAATCCAACGACCAGTTTTGAAATTATAAATGGATATACAAACGTTATACACCTGCCAGATATGAAGCTTAGAGTAAATGTTCTGAACTTAAATCTACAGTGGGTTTGGTTCGAAACATAGCTCCATATATATGTATTGTCGGTCTTTTTACCCTTTGGCCTAAATTGTGCGCGATTGAGAACAACTGACAATGATCGATGTAATATTTGACGTTCCGATGTCATAGTTAGCCGGGCTACTTTCAGTTTTTGAATATTATTTTTTGGTTCGATCTACACAGAAATCTGAAAACCAGCGTAAAATAGCAGCTTAACACTGCTGTGTTTCGTATGGTGAGTGTAGAGAACCGGAGACCCTTTTTACTGGCAAAGAGGCATTCCATCTTAGTCCTCACGGGTGACAACGCATCTGCATCTTGAGTCTTTATTGAGGATAGATGTAGATGTCTATGGGTCACAGTAACCACTTACCATCAGGTGGACTGTGTGCTCGTTTGTCACCCGATCCTATAAAAAAAAAACAGAGAATGAGCTTACAGTATCTTGAAGTCTCGCAGGAATTCCTAAAAAGGATGATTCGCGTGGCTATTGAAATAAAAAAAACATCCTAATTTTAACAAAGAAGATGGATGGGTGCTATAATGAACAAAATTCAATCCAAGCCCAAGCATACCACTGCAAGACTTCAATATACTGTAAGCTCATTCTGTGTAGATCGAACCAAAAATTAATATTCAAAAACTGAAGGTCTGAAGGTAGCCGGGCTAACTATGAC